AGAGGCAGCCGCCCGCATAATCGTTCAGGTCCGTGCCCTTGCGCAGCACTCCGTACCCACCCGTTAGCTCTCACAAGGAGGGAGAAAAAACTCGCTGCTAGTCCCTGCCTGTGAAAAACGGCAGTCCGGGGCTGATGGCGGCAGTGACGCTGAAACACCTTTGGCGTGTACCTGAAGAGGATGCGTGCCTGCCTAGCTCCTCTGGACTCCTCACACAAAAATTAAAAGTACGAGTTCAGCAATTAACGAACGCCCGCTCTCACTCTGCAGGCCGCAGGCCTCCGCCTGGCTGGCCGCTCCAAGTTGCCGTAAGGTAGGCCGCCAGCCCCCTGCAGCAGCTGGCCACCAGCAGTGAGGTAGCTGTGCTGACAAAAGGCAGGAGCCACAAAAGGAGCTCTTCAAGCACCTCTGCACCAGACTGAAGCCAGATTATGCTTCCTGAAAACAAGCACGGGGACCAGCTGTACAGAGAGAAAAGCAAGGAGGCAAGTTAAGCCATGTCTAGCAACGCATGAGTCACTATATAGGAGATTCCCCCCCCCAATAACACACTTTCACCCTGACGACAGTTGAGCACATCCTCCTCCACCTGACAAAACTTGTTTGACTGGGCGCTGACTCTCTCTGTGTCCTGCACCAAGTCACTATGCTCCTTTCCACTCTTACCAGAGGGCCTCCTTTGTAAGGGCCCATCCCCTTCTCAGTTTGAGAACCTGAGGAGTACTGTCCCACATCACTCTTCTGTCTAAAGACATGCAGGAAGTGGTAGTCTTTTAGTAAACCACATAATGTAACAATGGAACAGGAGAGAGAAGTTTTTTGGCACATCGACCTTCTCCCTGTGGAAACGAGAACATCAGCCTCCTAACGGAAACTCTCTCACTTTACTCTTGATTTTTTTGCAGTTTCCTTTACTCCCACACTACTCTTACTCTCTTGCAACTACTGTTAGTTAACTGCCTGGACAGTTTTGACTACAAAGGTGTTCAGTAGCAGTGCCAGAGAGAAAGCACAGACATTATTGCCAGTTGGATGGACAAAAGAATCATTGTTCCCAAGGGCACCTTAAGGGGTAAAATGCTGTAGAAAACAGCATGTATGTGACAAAACCAACATCTGAGTCAATGATATACAGTGTAAACAGTTAGAAATTCAGCTTTTAGACTTCACTTTGACGATTAGAGAGGGAGCAATACCTCTGCGAGGTAAAAAAGTTTGTTCCTACTACATCAGTGTTTATGACTACTACATTGTCATGTTCTTTCTATTATTTTGACATCATGAAGATTAAGAAATCACCTTCATGATGTCAAACTAATCCTGTAGTTGCATTTCTGTGGTTCTTATATGTAAGCCACTAGCCTTCTGTAAAACAACATTTCTATCATCACCATGTTTCTAAACATTTGCAAGACACTTAGCAAGGTTTCCTTCGGCCACGGCAGCCTGAAGCTGCAGCCAGCAGAATGTGACACAAGTTCCAAAAAAACATCCTTCACAAAAAGAACGACAGACTTCTGTCCTGCAGCTCTGCAACCACTTAACAGCTAGCACAGCCCTGGCAGTCAAAAGGCATCTACCAGCAGCAAACTAGGTTTTTCCTGTCAGGGGCTGTACCACGTTCAAAGCATGTTGCAGGGGAAGCCTGTAAGCTTTTATAACAGCACCTGAAATACTTTATCTCCCAAAGAGACTCAGAAGAGTTTATTGTCTTTTCCCCGCTAAGGTGAGTTGCTGTAGCAACTGGCAAGAGGACACGCAATTTTGGAACCACAGGTGAGCCTGACCAGTTTCTACAGGCGATCCATGGTATAGCACTGCCTGCTCCTTTTACTACTTTTTATGGGCGTGGTGTGAATCAATCTTCCCAATCCCTTTTGAACCTGCTGGTACTGTCTGCCTCCTACAGCAATAAAACTCAGAAGCTCACTGTCTGCTGTGTGAAATACCACCCTCATCTGTGTGAAATATCACATTAATATAGTTGGTCAATCTGTTTTAAGTGAAGGAGGAGTGCCCCCTGAACTAGTATTTGTACAACTCAGTGCATACTAGTTCTGCATCCACTTGACTCACAACTTCCAAGGTTTTGTAAACCTTCACCTTTTTTGCCCTCAGTCTTCTCCTCTCCCGAATGAAGAGTCCCAGCATTTTTAGTCTCTCCTCATAAAGCGGCTGCTCCATTCCATTGATCACGTTAGTTGCCCTTCTTTTAACTCCACTATGGACTCTCTCCAGATGCAGAAACTGGAACTACCCAATGCTGGAAATGTGGGTCCACTGGTTATACACAAGAACAAAGTAGCACCACCTGTCTGGTTCGCAATACCCTTCCATGAGATGTCTACCTAATGTTTTGATGCAGCTCCACACTGTGGTGATGGTTTCAGAAGAATTGTCAAAGATCTCTGCCCTGAGCTGTAACTACAAGTTCGTGAACTGCAAGTTCAGTACCATGGATATTTTGATGAATGATTTACACCACAAATGCGTAAATCCATACTGGAGCTCATTTACCCCTTTTGCCCATGGAAGGATCTCACAAAACTGAGCTCCTTGCCACTGGACCAATGTTGGACTACTTGAGAAATCTCGGTATCATCTGCAAACTTGGGTGATTTCGTTGTTCATTCCCTCCAATCACAGCAAAACTTGCTGAATAAAATCATTCGGGGACTGCCAATACTGAAATTCTTCCTCCTCCTGAGAGGAGCCCATGAAGTCTTAACCCTTCACTTCCTGTCCTTCACAATTCATAAAAGGATCCCTTATGTTCCTCTGGAACCAACGTATCATTTCAAGTTGTACTCATGCATTTCTCCATGTAAGGAAATACTTCAAAAGTTTATTGAAGGGACACCGTAAGCCTACAAGTTTCATACAGGGATGGGAAAAGCAACAACAAAAAATTTCTTCCCTTCACCATTGGATTGAGTTTGTGTGGCCAGGTTTTGGTAGCACGGAAGGGGGCTACAGAGGTGGCTTCTGTGAGAAGCTGCCAGAAGCTTCCCCCATGTCCGACAGAGCCAATGCCAGCTGGCTTCAAGACGGACCCACCGCTGGCCAAGCCCAAGCCCATCAGCAACACTGATAGTAGCTCTGTGATAATGTATTTGAGAAGGGGGAAAAACTGCTGCACAACAGCAGCTGGGAGACAGGAGTGAGAATGTGTGAGAGCAACAGCCCTGCAGACCCCCAGGTCAGTGAAGAAGGAGGGGGAGGAGGTGCTCCAGGTGCCAGAGCAGAGATTCCCCTGCAGCCCGTGGTGAAGACCATGGTGTTATGAGTGAAAAGCAAGTGCAGAGCCCTCAGGGATGAGGCACAACACTCAGCAAGTGAAAGCTCTGGCTTTATGGAAAGCATAGTGTTACCATGGTGGGAGCTCCAGGACAGCGGCGCTGATCAAATGGCGACCCGATGCAGTGGAGCCCTGCTCAGGAGTGAAGCTCAAGAGAAAGCACCACGGAGGTGGATAACAAAACTTGCACTGATTAACATGCCATACATACGCAACATCCTGTTTTGCTCATTAGCGAACTCGCTGATGTAACGCAGGTGCTGCTGTACAAATTCCGAGATCTGCAGCTGGCCGTCACGTTGGTGCCCGTGCAGGGGTATGTGCAGCTGCAGGGGGAGTGAACTACCTCAGCTCACCGTAACAAGGCGATAAGATGTGCTCAGGACTCTACATATTCGGATGGGGGAGGCAAACTGTCTTGGGTTACTGTAACAAAGTCTTCTCATGCCCTACACATGGTGAAGCAGGCTGTCCCCCTGCAGCCCGTGGAGGTCCACAGTAGAGTAGGTATCCACCTGCAGCCCATGGGGGACCCCACGCCAGAGCAGTTGGACGTGCCCTGAAGGAGGCTGTGACCCCATGGAGAGCCCACGCTGGAGCAGGCTGCTGGCAGGACCTGTGGACCCGTGGAGAGAGAGGAGCCCACGCTGGAGCAGGTTTGCTGGCAGGACTTGCGACCCCATGGGGGACCCCCACTGGAGCAGTCTGTTCCTGATGGGCTGTGCCCCGTGCAAAAGGCATGTGGAAAGGACCCAGGCTGGAGCAGTTCATGAAGAACTGCAGCACGTGGAAAGGACTCAAGTTAGAGAAGTTTGTGGAGGACCGTCTCCCGTGGGAGGGACCCCCACACTGGAGGAGAGGAAGAGAGTGAGGAGAAAGGAGCAGCAGAGACAATGCATGACGAACTGATCACAACCCCCATTCCCTGTCCCCCTGTGCCACTGGTGGGGGGGACGTGGAGAATTCGGAAGTGAAGTTGAGCCCGGTAAGAAGGGAAGAGTGGGGGGAAAGTGGTTTAAGATTTGTTCTTATTTCTCATTTTCCTACTGTGGTGTTAACTGGCAATAAATTAAATTAAATTTCCCGAAGCCAAGGCTGTGGTTTTTTAAATATCTATTCCCAACTGCTCCAAACAATACACAACATACAAATTACTTGACAACACCACAGAGGTATTTAGCAAGTCTAAGTAAAGTGCAGTTATGATGTGTTCAGTAACAGCTTCAGTTACTTGAATAAGCGGTGTAACAGCTTATACAATCTCAAACTTACTATTGCCACAGCATATAGCTAGTTCCTATAACCATGTTTATCAGTGATTAGAAGCTCATAAAAATGTTAGAGGTAATCACTGTCATTCCTGTATGAACATTTCAAATTGCATTCATCCATGTTCAAATATGCTTATTAATCCAACAGAGCTGCATCTTTATAGGTTTGTACACAAAAATGTTTATCTTCTTTAAAATGTATTCTTTAAAATGTTTATGTTCTTTAAAATCAATCAGATTTACAGATCAGCCAAAGCATGACTTATTGAAGAAATTCTAAAGCATAATGCACTGTTGATACTACTCAACAATATCTGAGGCTTACAGAGTTAATAGTCACTACAAATCCACTTGTGTTGTATGAACTACTATTATGGGCGTACACATAACATCTGCTCAGTTGCTTGGCTTGCCAAGTATGACAGTCTTGGGGTTTTCAATTCGTACCAAATGGAACCCAGGCGTTCTACATTACCTGCTGATCTAAAATAAGAAGTACACATTTAACCTGTAGTATCATTTCTCTGTTTGCACATGACATCATTTTATATTAGAAACTAATACCACCAACACGTCTGCGTTCATTGATGTTTTGCCCCATATTCCTTTTTTTAATTATTTTATCATTAGATAACAGTGGATTCACCAATTCTTCCAGAACATCAGTTACAGCTTATGATGACTTAGAGTAAGGGGCAAACATGTATAAGGACTGTAATACATATATATGGGGAGATACAGATCTATATAATTCTTGCAGTACTTTCATATAAAAGGATTTGCTTCTTGTTAACTTGGAATGGGATAAGCAGATTCAATTTCCAGTAAAATTACTTACTTCCTTCCCTCAGCTTTTTTAATTCCTGTATTATATCACTATACACACAGGATAAAAGCTCCTCTTGGGATTTTGTTCCATCCAAATAAACTAAGACAAAAGAAAAAGTTTTCATGAGTTCTACACCAGTTATCTGTAATAGCAGTTGGCAAAGTTTTCAGTATTCCTATGGGTGCAATAAGAAGAGATGAAAAAATAAAAAGCAAGAACAGTACCTCCCTTTTAGTCTTTCCCAAATTCATTTTATATGTTAAAAAAATAACATAATGGAAAAATATTCTAGTTAAGAATTAATTTACAAATTGTTGTGGTATAAAAGTCTCCATAAGGGCAGTTGTAATAACACTAGGATGCTAAAGAAATGCAATAATTCAGCAGAAAGGTTCCTATGCAGTGGAAGATCTCAGGTTCTTCCTCAGCTCCAGAGTCTGAGCAAGTCAGGGCAGGGCACTGTGGTTCCCGCTCTCACTGCACAGGAAGAAGCGGTGCCCCAGTCTTTGTGCTGATGAAGCAGCCACCTGACTTCTCTTTCCTCTGGCCCCCACCCCAGGAGCAGGCACTCCAAGAGCTCTACAAGTGTGAACATCACACAAGCTCATGGCAGCGCCCCATCAACTGGCTCAGCTTTGACACTGCTCATGCAAGACTGGTTACTGTACTGTGTACAAAAAGCACCTAGGAAGTATCTTCAGCTTATTATAGGACTTCAACCAGGAATTTAATTCTGTTCTGAAGAATTCTGCCAGTCCATCAGCTGTCATCTCAGAAGCTCCCTATTTAGCCATACGCATGTATGGGCACATGCACACACAAACTAGCTTGTTAAATGGACTTAGTAATCAGAACATTTCTATTTTTAACTTCATAATTTTCATTATTAAAAAAATAAAACAAAACCCCATAGACTTGAAAAATGAACCAACGAAAGGTCCAAACCTACTGCCCAAGTGCCACAAAAATATTTGAAGAAAACACTGTCCCATACAAAAAACCCACAAGCCAACAAAAACTGCGCAAGTGCCACACTTAAGCATTTTATAAGTTTAAAATTAAGGATACCATACCAACGTTACTTGCATTCTCTTCCAATTCATTTTTATATTTCACATACATGGGCCACACGTGTCCATCGAAGTACCCCGGTGTATCTGCTGGCTGATAGACTCTGGTGCTACACAAAAATATATTTGCTTTCCCATGCAAGTTTTACATTTTTCCCCTAGCATCAGCTGGTTTAATAAGAGCATCTATCCAAAATAAAAACAGGCTGGCAGGCTGCATAACTGTTCAAGCAAAGGAGGTTCCTTTGTTTTAATAAAATTTGTGATATGAACTCTTGCTAACTTACCTATTTCTGCCATTCAAATTACATTTAAGACAACGTAAAATGATTTTTTTTTTAATCGAAAAAGGTGTTACGTATAAATTAAGCTGTACTGAAAGTGTTACCAGGACAAATTACTTTTTTTCTTTTTTTATTGGGTATAGAGATTTCTCAAGTTTTAAATGACTAGCGGTTTTGTCTAGTCACTTCCAGCCTGGACACTAAAGTCCTTTAAAAGTGAGTCTAATGAAAAACCAAGAAAGTGGAATCAACAAAAGCCACTTGAATACAGGATTTCTTCAGTCAGCCAGCAGATTCTGACTTCGTGCACATGTATTGCTCCAAGCACGCAGTATTGCTCCAAATTTGGAGACAAGTCAGACACTGGCTCACTAATCTAAATCAGATATACGGTATAACAAATGCACAGTCTAAACAAAGTGTACACTGAAACCACACATGAACATTGTTACTTTAACAATAATCATCATGTAGCTGTATTCAACCAAGGATAAGACTGCTTAGTATTTTGTTAACTGTTTCTCATTTTAAACATGGTTTAACTCCAATATGCAGTCAATATAAATAATTTATCTGGACAACAAATTCTCTTTTCAGTGTTTGTAAAACACATAACATTTTAATATCCCTGTGCTCTAAAATGCAAGCCCCACCCCCACCAATCTCTGCATACTTTTGTTAATGTTGGTTAAATACCCACACAGTCTTCCCTGGGAATCACAGAGGACAGATGATCTTAATAGCTGACATTTGGCAAGCACTGAGGAAAAGCTAGTACAAAAGAACCACTTCAGGTTAGGGGTTACGGTGACCCTCTGTGAGCAATAACTGAATGATCTTACCTCCTTCTCCTTTTGCACTCCTCATAGGGAAGGGTTAAAAAATATCTTCTATTCCATAGTTCATTAAGCGGCCTAAGATAATAATATATTTAGTTCCCTCTTCCTTTTTAGCGCAACTTTTAATATACCAGGTTACATATTACTGCTTACTCATAATTGTATAGCAGAAAGCCTTCAACAATCAAAATATAAACATCTTCTGTATTTTTCAGATTGTCACATGTATTCGGCGGCTCTTCTGTAACAACACCTGAACTTGCTGGGCTTTTCATCCATTTGCGAATACTTTTCACCATTTCATCCATATAGAGGGCATCAAGTACTAGATGCAAACAGAAAGTTAGGCACCTCTTAAAAATAGAGAATAAAGAAAAATAAAGAACCTTTAAGTACCCCTAGGTTAATCAGTAAGAATCAAATAATCTACATACCCGTCTAAATGAAAGGGAATGGGATTACCCCAAAAATTCTCTCTCAACGGATGTAAGTAGTTCCATGTTTGCAACTGATGATACCCTGAAACTAAAGTTCTCCCCAGGATTGGGGTGTTTCTGGTGAGTGTAGTCTCTCTGAACTCTGTGGCATCAAAAAGTGTGTGAACTCACTTCACAGCCTTTCCCTTGACAACAGAAACTGCAGAGACAGTTCTCCTATTCCACAAAACTTGTAAAAACTTACTTACCCTGAGACTTCCACCCTTCTGTCAGTTGTCACTGACACAGGTGAAGGGAGGGGCGCTCAAAATTCTTTGCTTTGGGTTTTTATTGGGTTTCAGCTATTTGGAGGGTGGGGATGTATGTATTAGATTGAAAGGAGGATGGCATACAAAGCAAAACAGCACAGTGTAGCACCTGTTCTTGTCTGTAGACATGTAAGAACATATCAAGTAAGTACTGAATGGTAGAGAGAAGGCAGCCTTTGGATAACATAAGAGGTACTTTTAAAAGCAGCATTAAACCCAGATATTTGAACCAGAATGTCCAACAGTCCTGCAGTTTCACACTCCAGTTTCATTAACTCTAGAAGTTGAGCCAAAGACTGCATAGCTGATAAACAGTCAGTTTTCAGATATGGTTTAAGGTTCTGGCCAATGTTGCTGAGTAATACATTTTGCGATCACTGAGTATCAACAGAGATTAGCTAATATTCAACTGTTCCTAACTTGATATGACCTGAACCAAAGCATTGCCCTAAAGCGGATCTGGATCTAGGATTCTGTAAGACTAAATTGGCACATTAACCATAAGCTTCAAAACACTTGGTCTGTATGCCAGATCTGACATGAAATAAAGGTGTCAGGATCAGACCCAAGTTTTGACCGATTTGGAATATGACAATGAAAGAGCCTCAATGGTGATATCCGATGAGATCATTATCAAAGTGAAAAAAACAAAACAAAACAAAACCAAAAAAAATCATTACTTAGAAAGTGATGAGGTTAAGCTTATGCCAGTGCTGCAAGCCAAGACTTTCCACTGAAGAGTACCATTTGCTACTGCACCAGGTACAATTGTAGAAATAGAGGAAAAGATTAAAAAGAGAAAAGGAAGGGTCAAACACTAGCTTGAGCTACTTACTAGTTCAGCAAGTCGTCTTATTTATCTCAGTGACCTGAGAGAAACCGAGCAAAGGATTGCTCTTTAACAACCGTTTGTTTACTGCCTTGTTCAGATGGGAAGAGGGGCAGAGGGTGGAGGGGAAGAAGTGTTGAAGCTCAGCACAACAGAGTTTGAGTACAATGTTCAAAAGCAACACATCAAAGTTACTGACCATCATATAGCTTAAATCCACGTTCATCTGTTTCTACTTCAGACTCTGGCTGAAGGGAAAAAAAAAAAATATTTTCAAGGCTGCTTTTATGACCACTTTCACAGATATATACTCTTCAGATACAAACATAAGGCTTATACACTTTTGTATCCCAACTGATTAAATTTATCTTCAAAATTAGACTGCTGTATACAACTATTAAAATACAATACAAACACTTTATTTAATCTAGAACAACAAATTCTCCAAATCATACTTCTTAAGTTCACTAGAGCTTTACTTCAGAAATAAGAACTGCTTTACCCTCCTTAACAAACAATTCCAATGTCAATGCAAAAGTTGTTTTTCTGTTTTGATTTGGGAAACAAAGAACTACCTATTGCTGTATGGGTGTAGGCTTAACACAACAATATCTTTAATTCCATTAGCACAAAGTATCTTGAAAATGCATCAACATACACCTGTTCCTTATTTGAAAAGGGTATCAAAGAAGACAGTAAACTTCTTTTTGCTGAGTATACTCAGTGGTTTAGGCCACTGAAAGTTCAATTACCCAGTGCTCATTTTATTTCTCTTTCTCATGAAGTTACAATTATTTTAAGCAGCATCAATTTTAAAAGTGTATCAATAGGAGAACTGAAAAGAGAAGAAATGATATTAAAACCTACTCAAGCCTACTTTTACCTATCAGGTCTTTCCATCAATACTGTTACCTTAAAGAAGTCATCTTGAGAGATTATATCACAGTTGGGAAGCATTTTCTTAAGCTTTTCTGCCAGCGTTGTTTTCCCCCCATTTGTTACACTGAGTTAGAAAACATAGTAAAAACTGCATCAAGACAAAAATCTTTTAAACATATGTACAAGCTCACACACACATTTCTATATAGTTAGCGTAAACCACAAAGAAACAATCTAAAAAACTCCCAAAGTTTATTCACATTAAATACTCTCTACATCTAGAAATTTTCTGGCAGGTTCCAACAGCTTTCAGACAGTAAATCTAGCAGTGCCAATAAATAGGTTAGAAAGAGGTGGTACCGGAGGTCTACAACAAAGAACAATTTCTTAAGAGTTACATGTCACAAAATGAGACAATTATACATTGCATTTGTAATCTATTTTCAAAAAATATCCATTTGTAAATAGAAATGACATCACTTCATTCTGAAAGGAAGACCAGTCTGGAGCTGTAGAGGAAATTTAATTTGCTAATACTTACCCTCCAAGGCCAATAACCAATACTTTCATAGTTTGTTTTCTCGTCAGTTCTTCCTTTTCACTGTCAAAGATAGTAGCCAGTGAAAACTCCTAATTCAGCAACACAGAAAGCAGCTATTGCATTAAGAAATACCAATTACAGATAAGACTTATTTTATGTCCTTTTTTTTTCCCTCCTTTTTGCAAAGCTACTGTCAGAACCTCAACTGCTTCTTCTAATGCTAACAAAAAACCTGCAACATACATGCCACATCACAGATTTCAATGTGTTTTACCTTAGACAGTATTATAATCATCTGGGGAAAACTTTGAGAGATGCAGTTCTATCACTATTAATACCACAGAAGTCCCTAAAGAAAAGCACAATCACTAGCTCAAGCATTAGTGGTATAAAAATGATGAGGTAAACAGAAGCTGTGGTGGCAAAACAAAAAAAAACCTTAAAAAAAGAACTCAGTGATGTGCTGAGGAGAAAGATGTTTTAAAATTTTCATTAAAGGTTGTAACGAAGAGGAGGAGCAAGGGGAAGAATGTTAGTTTTCAGCTGAGAATTCCCTGCAGTTTACCATCCAGTTACCTGTGCCTGCAAAGGTATGGTGTAGAAGGACAGGTAGTAATGGGGCTGCTTCTCGTGGCAGCAGCACTAACCTAGAGCTCGTCAAACCAGTTTAACATTTGTCAAACATTGCTTTCCAAGAGCACACACCAATTAATAACTATTTAACCACACACAAACATCCTGGTTTTCACCTGCTCTGTCCTCCTAGGTAACACTTAGGGAGGTAAGGCCTATGACACCTAAGACCTGAAAGGACTGAGCAGGTAACACCACCTCCCCTCCCCAACAAACAAGTATCTGTACCATACTAGAAAAAAACTGTTACAGGGCATCACTATGAAAATAAATCCACACTATTGCTGTTAAAATCAGTTCTAGAGATACACAGAGTCTGAAATAATAATATCCTTTTGCATTTGGTGCAACAACTAGAAGTTCAACTGTTTCAGAGGTCTGTGATGCGGTCTTTGCACGGTTGCTTTTTATATTTTTTTCTGTTAGGACTAAAAATGAAAAAAAAAAAAGAAGACATAGTGATTAGTCCAAGAGACATCGCCAGTATGGTAGCCATTGCTCTACAATGGTGCTACAGTAGTTGGCAGTGGCAAATTTTATAAGTTAGCATGTGAAGGTTTTCTAAGAATATTATAAATCTCAAGTTCAATGATACATCGCACGCTTACGGTGTCAGCTATCTTTTCAAAGACTGCAAACAGATAATCTGTTCTCAGGAAGTTGCAATACTCAGTGCATTAAAAAAAAAAAAAACAAACAACCCAAACCCTGATGCTCTTTTCTAAAAATCATCAGTAAGGTTTGTGTTCCAGCAGATTCACCTTTGTCCCAAAAAAATGCTATGTAACAAACTAAATAACATCTGGACACACATGCTGAGCTTTGGACTCTTAATTTACGTCATTGTCTATATGAAAGTTAATCCCAGCTTAAGGCAAAAAACAGCAGGATGGAAAAAACCTCCAACTCTTCCTCCCCATGGAGTAATGTATGACACAAACTGCAAAGGCAAATTTGTCACCGATGTTGCAACACAGAAATCCTAAATTACTCTACCTGGGCGCGGTTTAGCATCTTTAAACAGAACACAAACCCATTACAACCCTAACATAGAGCTGCTATCACCCTGTTTTTAAGGGCACGGCGTGAGAGAGCGCCGGCGGGCGGCGAGAGCCGCGGCCTGCTTCCTTCCAGGCACCACCACACCGCGGCAGCAGGCGTCTCTGCCCGGCACCAGACCCACGGGCCTGGGCTGCCGGCGGGGCGCGCCGCGGGGGCCCCCACCCCTCCCCACGC